TTGACGCATGCGCAATACAAGTACTTGTAACTATGAATGATTTGTTAATTAAAGTCACCCCCCTAAACATGTAAGGTGATTTAAGGTTATGTAATCAGGTTCAGGGTTAGGGATAGGGTTAGTTATATAGTATTTGCATATAATGAGGTTAAAAAAGGAGTGACATCAACCTGATTTAAACATGATCGGTATATTGGGCTGGATATGTTTAAAGATACATTATGGGAGATAAGATAAAGAGATGGCAGTTCTCGCTATAATAGTTAAAAACTAGATAGTGTAAAGGTAATTTGCTAAAAATTTCAGTCAAATTGATCCACTATGAGCCGAGAAAGAAGCGGGTGAAATTTTTGCATAGTCTCGGTCATCATTACTAAAATCATTTATATAAACAGCATAGTCTCGATTATCCACTTTTTCTGATTTAATTATCAATAGCCGTTAGCTGCATATAATCTAATCCAGCCAACATCGAAGGCTAGCCTTGACATCAAGAGTTTATTATGGTCTGGATAAGTTAATTAATGTCTAATTGATAATTTAGATAACATTTCAGGCCTAAAGAAAGACTTGTAATAAGCAGATTTTGCTCTTGCATAATGCATGTTTAAGTAGTAGTTATTAGCACACTTTCCGAGGTGTATCGGTGAAGATCAGGACAGTTGAAGATCAGGACAGTTTTGGTCAAGGGGCCAACCTCGATACACCGAGGAAAGGTGCTAATAAGTCACACCTTTCTATCGAGTATTGTAAAGCGAAATGTGAAAAATAGTATTTATTATCGAGTCGTGTTAAGCGAAATTTGATAAATACTTTCTGCTCTTTCATTTATCCCTTTCTGTGCCTCACGTTACATTTCGTGGTAGAATGATTTTGCAGTGGAGAAACGACCTGAGTAGTATTAGTAGTAGTAGTTCATTCGTACCTCACATGAGCCGTTTCGTACTTCGCGTCGTACCACAAATTGATTCGTACCTTTTCCTATGTTGTTGAAATCAGTTAAAAGAAATTGAAATAAAGTTGAAAGGATTTGATCAAATCCAACGGCTACGCTAAATTTATAACAGTGGCTGCCGAGCCATAATTAGAATATGCACAAGATTAGTTTATTTTCCTAAATGTGTTTGACAGAAATGGAAATAAAGGTGAAACATAATAAAACGATTTGATCAAATCCAACGGCTGTGCTAAATTTTAAAAAATTGCTGCCGAACGAGCATTAGTTATTAAATGGCTCTTTAAGTGTAAATCGGTATGGAACAAATATTTCCTGTTTAGTAGGGATGTAAAATGATTGTTATGTTGTAAGGCATTTATTTATAAATCATATAATGCCATTTAATAAAAGTTAAATGTGTAAATTGTTATGCATTTTTATATGTGTAAATCATTTAATGTTATTTAATAAATATTAAATTTGTTAAAATCAATATATTTTTATATGTGTAAGCTATTTAATGTTATTTAATAAAAGTTAAATTTGTTAAAATCAATACAGTTTTAGTCTTAAAAATGATATGGACTATAGTTTATAACACCATTGTTCTAGGATTAACGGCAAAATTTGACATCAAAGCCTGCTGGCTAAGTGGGAACACCCCCACTCATCTTCACACGTTGACACCTTTTGGAGACTTACTGTGTTCTATTTTTAGGCTCAAATTTTTACCAAATCATATCAGAAAGCATGCAGTTCCACCTTACAGTGAGTTAAATTGATTAAAGGGTTATTATGTAATGAATAATACAATACGTGTCGCATTTTGGAATTCTTAGTATGTTCAATCGTTTTTAACCGCTTTAACAACCACCTATCAATTATCGTCAATAATCACAAATGACAATCACAACTCACTCACCAGATCAAATACTTTTTCAATTGTTTTTTAAACTGCTTTAACAATCACCATTCAATTGTCGTCAATAATCACAACTCACTGAGCAGAATGGGTTCGATAATCAACACCAGATTAAAAAAAGGCAGGTTATCGTTTTTTATTTCAATTTCTTTCAACAACATATAGATTTATTTTAAATTCTTTCAACAACATATAGGAAAAGGTACAAATCAATTTGAGGTACAAATCACGTGTGTATTCTAATTCTCGTTCGGCAACCATTTTTATAAATTTAGCGCAGCCGTTGGATTTAGGAAAAGGAACTAATCAATTTGATGTACAAATCTCGTGCACATTCTGGTTCGGCATATTCAATTTCTTTCAACTGATTTCAACAACATAGGAAAAGGTACGAATCAATTTGAGGTACTAAGTGAGGTACGAATGAACTAAGTACGAAACAGCCAGGTTACGAAACAGCCTGCACCATTACACGTGCGTCTTGCTGCGTTACCCTGAGCGTAAAACAGTCACATGTTTTTCTTTAGACTGCACTCCGTATTGAAAGACGAAGTTGTTTTGACGTAGTCAGTGAACATAGAGCCCAACCACATCGTCAAAACAACTTGTCCCTGGCGTAGAGGACTGCAATTATATTAAACGTAATGTAAAGGACATTCCACAACGTGGGTCAATCCTGGTGAAGTGTGCATCGCAGGCGCGGATCCAGAAGGGGGGGTGGGTCCTGGGGGTCTGCCCCCCCCCCCCCCGCTCAGATTTGAAGGGTCCGAGAAACTTAAATCTAAAAGCCTGAATCTGACCCAAAAATTGCGAGTTATACATTGAGTTGAGTCATGACTTTCATTCCATTGTGGGCAAAAACAAAGTCACATACAGCTCTGGCAATTAGCCAAAAATGCAGACAGCATAAATTGCCGTCGGGACTAATTGACCCCACGGCAAATCGCCTATTGACGACGGCAATTTTTTAATACCGTACTGTATCAAACTGTATGAAAATATAAGTTTATTGAAATTTAAAGAGTTTTATTAACGCTGTTTGCCTGTTGACGTTGAATATTGTTGTGTTTGCTTTTTAATTTTATCGGCAGCGTTGATAAGAAAAAGAAACCTGGTCATTTATTTTATCAAATTTTAAAAAAAATAAAAAAATATGCTAGCGGAATTTATAATATTTTTTAAAAATTTGATACATAACATATTCACGGCTTATGTTTTATTATTATTATTTAATTATTATTATTATTATTATACCTGAAGAGAATGTCTTATTAGGTGAACTTGGAACATGCCCTTACCACGAAACAGTGGAAGGTAGGCCTACTACAGCGATCGAGAGTGCAGGTAAAATACTTCCGACAGGTCGTCATTCGTAAGACTTTTTTATACGCGCATTTAAAACAATTGCTGCGTGAGACGTACCCCACGCGTGTTTAAAATCAGGTAATTAAACTAAGTCTATAGACTTTTCGACTGTGAAAGTTTGTGCTCTGGAAAACCCCGACCAACTTTCCTATACTTAAATGGACTGGTTACTCTAATAGTAAATTGATACTGCTAATAAAGCTTGTTAAGAACAACCATAATATGATACCGGTATCTGAAGATATTTTGTTCCTCACCTGTGAAGGGAGCATTCTCCATCAACATTTTAAGGACATTTTATGTGATTTTATTGGCGATTTTTAGACCTGTAATTTTGGAATTTACCTTCCGGAAATACGTCAGAATGGACCAAATTGAATCTAATTTACCAAATTTTTCAGGGGGAGGGCCCCCCGACCCCCCTTTACAACCTAGACCCGCTCCTGCAAAAAATCCTGGATCCGCGCCTGCATCGGTGGATGGTTCGTCCGTTGAAATTTATTTGTAATAAAATTTATGACTTTCTAGGCGTTTGTTTTCATCCTGCTTGAATAAAAGTGTTTGTTTGTCGGAAATAAACAGTACTCTTATGAAAAGCGTACTGTTCATTTCAGATACATGGATACTTATATGCCTGTATTGGAAATAAACAGGACAGTTTTATGTCACTTCTGGTACCAATGAAACCGTTAAACAGGTTTTCACATAAGCATTGCACACATGAAATAAAATGGACGCAGAGTCAATCAAATCCAGCAATCAATTCATTTTATACATTTGTTACATGTAAGTGATCCTGACAAAATTACATTACTTCCGGTGATAAAGAAAATGTTAAAGTAGTTTTATGAAATCAGAAATGGCATCATCACATGGTGACAATTTTATGTAAATCAAATAATAATTGCTACTTTATTACAAATATGCATTAGCCATGAATGGGACAGGGTCAGTTTCCATTGTTAAGTCAATCGTTTGCTGTAATATCCTATCCCCAATAACAAAATGTATAAATAATGTTTTGGAGAGAGAGAGAGAGAGAAATGGGGTTTAACGTCCACTCATCCACTCGACACAAACTAGGTCATTTTGGGACTAACATATTGTTCAATTTTATTTCAATAATTCACTTGCGCGTAGGGGACAGGGGTCTTTAGCAGTGGGAGGAAAGCAGAGGACCAGAAAAAAAAAACCACGAGGTTGGACGGGCGACACTACTCCTTGTCACGTACAACCGAAGAATATAATGTTTTGGAATGTAGCTGTCAACATTCCAACCATGCTTTATAATCCATTTAGCATCTTGTGAGTAAAAGGTAATCAAGTTTCTGCCTTTTCAAATGTGCCATTGAAAACTTTATCAACAAACCAATCCAAAATATCTTTGAGATCTAAATGTTGATCCATAGGCTAGTATATAAAGTAAAAGTTGAAAATTCATAGGGGTGTTGGAAGGCTGAATGGTTAGCGTGTGCACGTTGTATCATAAGGTCTAGTCATTAAGTCAACTAGCCGTTGTTTTGATTCCCTGGTTATATGGGACGAGGAGTAGGGTTGCCTAACCTCATGGATTTTCTCCGGGTGCTGCAATTTCCTCCCACTGCTAAAGATCACTACGTGCAGGCGAACTATTGAAATATAATTGAGCCATATGTTAGTCCTGAATTGACCCAGTTTGTGTCGAGTGGACGTTAAACTCCATCTCTCCCTCTCTCTGATTCAGCAGCATTATGACTTAGAGGTTAATGATGATTAAATACTAATAGGCCTAATTACCATTCGTTTTGTCTGCGAATCACTCCAATGTCCTTGACATTTCAATACAATTTGTTTAGCAACCTCCTTCATTGAAGGGTGCGCATAGAGCAGTACAGGACATTCGTTCATATTGAAGAATTAAGTAGGCCTACTAGAAACACGAAGTCACCGCCCGGATAGTTTGTTTACAAACAACAAGTCCAGTAGACTGAGTGGTCTTCTTTGACACTTTATTGCAGGAGAGTGCAAAATGAGAGTTGCTTCCCTTTAGTTTAGCACTCACCATTGCTCGTGAGAATCTTATTTTAACCACAGCCTTTGGCTATTATATAGTTAAAAAAAAAAAAGAACAGGAATGCAATGCCTGTTGAAACCTCGATTTTACCTGCTCTCGCTTCGGCTTGTTTTTTTTTCAACAATTCGTAATGTCAGGCAATCAAACCTCATAGTCGATTCACTCAGATTCAGATATGTTTTTTCTTCAATCTAGCCGTTTGATTTGCATAAATACTCCCCACAAAACGATATCATAATTGTCTGCGATATCAATGCGGTGGAAGAGGACGTTAAATAAAGCTATTTCACACACACGATATCATAGCCACTTGTTTCCAATACTTACATTATTTTCGTTCGTTGACGTTTGTCATTGAATCCATCCATGCGCTGACGTCACACAAAAACCTAACCAAACTCTGAAGTCCCGTATACTTCGCCTCAAGATCATGAATATTCACCAAAACCTGGCAGAAAATGTATATTCAAACCCTCTTCTTCGATTCTACATATATACGGATAGAAGGTCCGATTCATGTGTTTTAACATTGTAAAAGATGATTAACCCTTAAGTTCACGTGCAGTATAGGTATATATAGGCCGACGTGTGACAAAACATTATACGGCATCGATAGGACGTAGTAACGCAAACTGGTCCGTGTTGAATTGGCGTGTTTTACTCACTTTAGAATTTGCGTACCCGAGGTGGGTTTGGGACCCCCCCCCCCCCCCGCGCTCAGATACACAAAAAAATAAAATAAATGTAAAACATCACTTTCATGAGAAAAGTGTCACAGTCGTGTGCTTTGTCCTTTACCATCAGGTGGTGGGATGGGACGGATATTCAAAGCGCGAGATGATGATATAGACATGTTTGATATCACAATTAATGCTTTGCATCAATGAAATTGAATCACAATAATAAAAATTGAAGTCAAACGGGTTGTTGGATTTTTCTCTTTAGAAAGCTCAATGTGTATGTAGGCCTATGCCTAAATAATTTGGAGACGATGATGGCATCATTGTCAACTGTCACATTTCCTTAACAGAAACCTGGCAAACCCCGACCCTCCTGCAAAATTTCCTGGATCCGCCCCTGGCTGGTACCGTCCTATTTTATGTACCCAGATACCATGGGCGCAGATCCCGGTGGGGACACCGGGACGCGTCCCCACCAATATTTTTAGTGATGGGGACATGATATACTGTGTCCCCACCACTTATTTCCGATGTTTTGCCTACTGTTTTCAAATTGAAATCATTCCAGAGCTTTTATTGACATTTTAGAAAGTGTAGATTTAGTCCTATGCACTTGAGGCCAGGGTCCTTGAAGTTGTACAGCTGCACCCGGTGACCGATTTTTATTTAACAGGGAATAAGTGATAATTCATATTATAACATTAAATAATTAAAATATTCCATCGGGATTATAATATGTATATCATGTAGATGTGCATTTCTGATACCCTGGGTATTAAAGGGTCAAGGAATAACTGAGATTTTGTTTTCATCTGGTATACTGGATGATAAATCTCTGTGGAATATAGGCAATTAAATCTAAAATTTAAGACTCGAACCCTCTATTTTTTGGAGTACAGTAAGCTGAGCCAAGAATCGTGTACTTTTTGAAAGTGAAATTTTTTGGCTGTTTTGAAGATGGTTTAGAAATTTAGGGAATTTATCGGAAAAGACATTTTTTAAAACCTGTCATGGGCCGTCCAGAAAGAAGTCAAAGGGAAAGGAAACGGGCAGAGTGGATATAAGTGTATTAAACACTTTATTGAATGTTTTTTTCGATTAAAAAAATGCTCTCTGAACTATTTTGTTATTGGTAAAAACTCCTCAGAATCGCTGAAAATGCATATTTAGACACCATTTTGTAACAAAAATTCAAACAATTGTAAAGCCCCCCCCCCCCACACACACACACACACACCTCTAGCAGCTCACGCCAGTGGCGTTCGGTTATATAGTCGGTCCTTTTGTTTCACAAACGAACCCGCCCACCTTGCTTCCAGCCTACGGGTCCGACTCTGTATCTAACATAAAATCACCACTGTCACATTCAAAATAGATAATATAATACAACTGGTACTATGTGAATCATTAAAATAGCTATAGGAACAATATAAACAGTTAGATTTAACTTTTAAAAAAGCGAAAAGTTATTATTTCAATGTGGTCGCCATTTTTGAATTTTAACGAGGGAAAATTCGCCTTTGCCATCGGATTTTTAATCACCAATGAATAATACAGTAAAATGTTACATTTATTTCAATTGGGATTGAATATTGATATGTTTAGCTGTGTGTGTGACTTGTTTTAGTTTATATAAATTAAAAGATTTGTAGGCCTGTACATTTGTGTATCCAATTGAATACACATTTTTCTCAAAGAATTTACGTAGGCTTCGAACACTACTGGGAATGGAGGCGGAGCTGGAATCTCAGTAGTGTAAATATTTCTAGTTCTTGTAGTGTACATGAGAGAATAAATCGTGAACGGTGGCTTGAAGATTTGTCTTTAGATTAGATTTCGTATCATTTACTGCCTCATGGATTAGAATTGTTTGCCAGAAAATGATGCTGAAAATACCCACAGAGCGCTTTTAGAGCGTCTAGCAAATAGTCGTCCGCGCATGGACTGTCCCCACCACTAATTTTTGGCGATCTGCGCCCCTGCCAGATACACTAAAAAGAAAATATTAGTTAGTGTAAATGGGCGCATAAAATATTCAATCGGATTTAAAATGGGCTGGGCCCATCGATCATGTTTGCCCACAACAAAATGGCAGCTTGATTATTACATAGCGAAGAGATCAATTTCATTTACAGTTGGGTATATCTTTGTAAATATTGAATAAGGGGGAGAGAAATAGGGTTTAACGTCTACTCGACACAAATTAGGTCATTTTGGGACTAACATATGGTTCAATTTTATTTCAATGATTCGCTTGTGCGTAGGGGTCTTTAGCAGTCGGAGGAACCGGAGGACCCGGATATAACAATATTTTAGAGAGAGAGAGAAATGGGGTTTAACGTCCACTCGACACAAACTAGGTCATTTCGGGACTAAAACATGGTTCGATTTTATTTCAATAATTCGCTTGCACATAGGGGTCTTTAGCAGTGGGAGGAAACCGGAGGGCCCGGAGAAAACCCACGAGGTTGGACAGGCGACCCTACTCCTTGTCACGTACAACCGGGGAATCGAAACACCGCCAGTTGACTCAATGGCAGACCGTATGATACAGCGCGCGCGTGCTAACCATCCGGCCATCGAACCCCCCATATTATTTTAATTGGGTGTATTAACCTATTGCAAGTTAATGACTCTATGCGTGATTTTAGCCCTATAGAATCCCTTGCAAATTAAATTAATGCCTCTATGCACCACTGACAAGGGGGGAAACCACGCCGGATAATCCCAATGAACTTTCTCGGCCAACACCAGGAGCGAATCCGTGACCTCCAGGCCAGCGTCCTACCTACTTAGCCACCGTGGCTCCGTGGACGTAACAGAGGCTGGGGTATTTTTTTTATCGTTTAGACTTGTTTAGTGTATATTATGCAATGACGTGCATTTTAACTTCTTTCATGGGGTGTTGGGTGACCGAATGGTTAGCACGGGCGCGCTGTGTCATAAGGCCTGTCATTGAGTCAACTGGCGTGGTTTCAAATCCCCGGTTGTACTTGACAAGGAGAAGGGTCGCCTGTCCAACCTCGTGGGTTTTCTCTGGGTCCTCCGCTGTCTATTGCAGGTCTTTCTTTAGCCTGAAATGTTATCTAAATTATTAATTAGACATTAATGAACCTATCCAGACCGTAATCAGCTCTAGATGGCATCGCTAGCCTGCTATCTTAAGTGGATTATGAGCCGATTTAATGCATAACTTTCCTTCACGATTTAACGATTAAATGGATAATCGAGACTATGCTGTTTATCGTACCGACTTTATTAATGATGATAGAGGCTAGGCGGAAATTTCAAACGCTTAGTTCTGGGTTCATACTGGATAAATTTGAATGAAATTTTCAGTAAATTGCCTTACATTATCTAGTTTTTAACTATTATAGTGAGAACTGCCAACTCTTATCGAATCTCCCATAATGTATCTTTAATGTCTGTTAAATTCTTTAATATTATTTCGAATGGAGGTTATACAGACTGGGGGATATTTTTGTTATTTTTAGGAAATTTTAATAGTATGTGAACGTGAGAAGTTGTGGTATTTTTTGTTATTGTTTGGGCTTGTTTAATGCCTATTATGCAATGTTAGTCTATTAAACGGACTACTAGAAGTGTCTTCCGTACTTAAAGTATCGGTATCCTATTTTATATTATCTACTTTCACTTAAAGGGACTGTCAGGAGAGAGAGAGAGAGAGAGAGAGGGGCGGGAGAAGAGAGAGAGGGAGAGAGAGAGGGGGGTGGTGAGAGAGAGAGAGAGGGGGGCGGGAGAAGAGAGAGAGAGAGGGTGGGAGAGAGAGAGAGTGGTGCTGGATGGAGAGCCGGACAAGGACAGCAGCCTGTCCAGTCGTTCATATGGGACGAAAAAACAAGGACCCGTGTACATATTGGTGTATGCGTGAAAGATCCCTTGACAGCTGGAATTCGATACAAGAGTAGGCCGTAGCGCCGATGTCCAGGCAAAATTTCCCTCATATCACACTGTATGGCGTATGCCCATCTTCATTAGCCCAGTTGGAGCGAGAGAAAAAGAGAGAGAGAGAGAGAGGGGGGGGAGAGAGATATGCGGTTTAATGTACACTGACACAATAACTATAATCGGTGAACAGTATTGGGCACCAGTCAGGGTATGTCGAATATCTGTCTAAAATGGTTCAATTCCGTTCATTATTAAGAAAGATATATAGAGAGAAATGGGGTTGGACAGGCGACCCTTCTCCTTGTCACGTACAAGACTGGAATCGAAA